CTGGCCCGTAGGCCTACCCCTCAAGGTTGCCCGCATGAAACCATGGCGAAGTACAACATTGATATGTCTTTCTCTCTCTCGCGTACTCAGGGAGAAAGCACATCTAGCATATAATGAGTATACAGTACCCTAGCATACTAGAAGTCAAGGACGGCTGCACGTAACCGCTTGTGATTTGTGTCGCATCCCTCGGTTTTCCTGAGGCGCTGGACAGTGGCCAGTGAGCAGGTCCAGCACCTCACAAACTGAATCTCGGGACCACGCTATGCCTGCCAGCTTGGCATCCTTCTTGCTAATCGTCGCTTTTCCATTTGTTGCTTACTTAATTTGCGTTCTGAGATTCCCCAGTGCTGCTGACAAAAAGCCACAGAAAGACCATCAAATCTCCCCCATCACAGTGCGCTCGTTGGGTCTTGAGTCTTCTAAGAACCCCGATCCCCAAGCTTCAAAGCCGATCCCATGTTCACTTGCAAGATCCGGCTGCCTCTCGTAGACGTAGCCGAGCTATCTGCATCGGGCTTTCGGAGGTTTACTTGGTACACTGCTCGATTTATGTGCGTCATCCCTGCACAGGGGCCATGCTAATCCTCTCTGTATCGTTCGAGTTTTATCGGATAATCCCCGAAACTATAGGTTTAGGGTACGGGGTGTAATTAGGAGGTTCTGGACCAGTTCTGGATGGTCTACATTGTGGCTTTCATAGTTTCGCATTTCACTCAGGCTGTTATTAGTAGGTACACCCCAGGTTAGGCACAAAGGTCTTGGATTGGAGGTGCGCAGCGACTGCGAGCAAAGCTTGGTCCAGAATTCGGGCTTCTCGAATCTGCTAGAGCCTCTTCGCGTCTGCCAAGTCCTATTGCCAAGAAGATGAAGCACGTAAAATCTTTCAATCGCAAGTCCCTTCCTGCAGATCAGCCCTGCTCCGTGGTAGCGTCCACGGGGAGTACCTGTTTGAGCCCGGGAATGTGCTCTGGAGCACGGAGATCATGACTGGGTCTACGGGTGCCGCTTGTATATCTGGAAAAGCCCTCTTGGTCCCTGCTGGTGAGGTTTCCAAAGCATGGGTCAGGTTTGTCAGTCCAGGACACCAGACAGGATCGCAATCGTCGTCCAGCTGGTTGTACAAAGTACCTTGGCTCAGACAAACGAACCTTTACTCATCTCCCGAAGGCAACCGAACTTATCTTTTGCTTTGCCGGCCAAGCGCTATATGATCATCGCGCACGTAAAACGCTTCCCCAAGTCCCCTGCCTGCTGCCCCAGCGGCTGGTGAGGGAGACGGGCGAGTTTCCAGCCAAGGGTGCTGACGCCCAGCTAATGCACACTCGCCACCTAAGAATATTCCGACAGCCATGCTTACCATTTTGGCGGGCAGAAGCTCGACACGAGGAAGAGTGAGCCCTAGAGCTTAGAATGAGAACTGCTCAGCTGTGGCTGCTTGCAGGTCCGCGAAACCCTCGTGCAGGGAATGATCAATACCTCTATAACCCTCAGCGAGTTGCCTGCACGAGTCCGGCGCATGCTGCTCCGGATTCGCCCCGGCCATCAGGCAGAAAGCCGCGAGGTGCTTCTTGGCTACGAAGGTCCTGGGAACCCCAAACGTCACCTTTCGACTTCCGCAAAGCCGTAACACATGCCAAAAGAGCACGAGCTTTGTCGTGCATGCCAACAACCCAGCGAGCGAGGAGCACAAGTGACTACTAAGTCAAAGAGTGACTGAACGAGGGATTGAGCGAATGTGAGCGTGTTGAGTCCACGTAAGTAGAGGAGTGAGCTGCTAAGTGGACTCAACGAGCGGGGAAGGAGCCAGCGAGCGAGGCAGTGTACAGCAAGTCGACCAGTGGTTTCTGTAACAGCCTCAGTGAATCCCTCCACCACCCAACTGCACGCAAAATTGCCGCAACTCTCAGGTCAACAGGTACGCCGACGTGGGGCCGACAGCTGAAGAATGCCTGAAAACCTCAAACAGCCCTCCCACCTCTTGAACCATGAGCTTCCTGCCGAGTTTTAAGCTCCCACCGTGCAATGCAACCACGTCCCCCAAGGATGACTTTCGTTTTGGAAGCGAAAGCTCACAACGGAGCTAATGGCAGCGATGGCTCTGATCGGATGTCTCCGACGGATTCCACATGTTGCCAGCAAGGATGGCCAGAAGCGGTGTGCCCCAAACCTGTCAGGTGCTCTGTCGTATGCAGTCCGAGGTTTGCATCAAAGGCTGGCTAGAAATTCGAAAGAAGTGGAAGTCCCATACCTCGGCCAACAACTATACGCGCTCTGGGCCATGAGAAGCCTTGCAGAACATCTTGAATCATTAGTCAGTACCGTTCTCGCCTCATCCACCAAGTTGAAATCAAAGTAGCGGCCGCCTGTCTGGACCTCTTCTGCTTGCAACATTATCTGGCCAACAACACGAGTTGCGAAACGAAGCAGACAGCAGGCATGCAGCATCCATCGCATGGTGGAGGCAGGCTGAAATCTTCAAGCACACCCCGGATTTGCAATAGACTGGGGGCTCCGAAAGGTTCATCTGGCTGAGCTCCGGGCCAATTCCTTCACTTCCGAAGAATCACCCTCATAGAGCCACCCGAGGATGGTCTTCCTGGGTGTTTCGTTCCGGAATTCAACCAAGCTCCTACGCAACAATGCCACCTTGCCACACAAACCCTGAAGGCGAAAAGGGCCTACACCAGCCCCAAGCCTCAACGAATATCTCTGTGTTCATCCCCAAAGCTGAAGCCCAAACCTGCTGTTCTGAAGCCGGGTCGCTGCTCGGTGGTGCTCAGTCTTGGCGTGGACATCTCATCACTCCATCGGCTGATGAAAGGCATCGGAGGTTGAATTTAAACAAACTCTTCATGGCGCTAAGAAGCTAACAAGTGTTAGTGATAGCATTTTAGCGTTAGTGTTGTTGTTGTTGTTGTTGCTGCTGTTGTTGAACTACTACTCCTTCATCAACAGTAGTAAAAACAACTAGAGCATTAAGTGCTATGATAATTACAAGCACTATCGAACTAGCTATGCCTCGCTCCCTGCCCGGCGGCGGGTGCGGTCGCGCGATGCATCCGTCCTGTGATCCTGTCTTGCTCACTCTAGCAGGTTTGGGAGGCAGCACGGTGTGATGGCGTTTCATGCTGTTCTACGAAGTAAAGCTTGCGGAGGAGCGTCCCCGGTTTGAACACTTTCTGCTGTTTTGAATTTGGCGGTTCTCAAAGAGTGTGTGTCTTGATGGCTCTGCTTGCACAGATTGCTAGCGCAGTCCGCGGTGGCACGGCCTCCAAACATTATGCCAGAGCAGACCCAGGGTGGCAATCAACCTAACATCAAGATGAGAACGTCCCACCCCTGAAACATCAAGTGTGGTGAGTCGGCCTTGGGCATGTGAGATGAAAGGACGCCGCATGGTTGCTCTCGGTTGGAAGGCTGGGAGATGCTGGGGAGCACATGATCGATTCTAAAGCCTCTCAATGACCCAACGGGTCTTCGGTTTCTAGTCCCATCCGAAACCTCTACCCGGCTCTACCCTACAGCACTTCACTAGAGGTCGCTGAAGTTCAATCTCGTTCTTCTGGATTGCATGCATGTTGCATGCCTAACACCATTTCAGGGTTGAGGTCTGAGGAATTGCATTGCATGCTTCTGACATCTGAGAACGATTGCTTTTGCCAGGCAGGGCGGCATCTGAGAGGGGCGGCATATCGGTCTATCGATACTTGCCACCATACCTCAGCTGCCGAGTAATTCGTCATCGTTTTTGACAGAATGTGCTTCCTTTGGCTGCATGGATCTGATTGGCGCAGGTACCAGGGGCACTTCTATCCTACCTGCCCCATCCGAGCGACGTGGCTACAGACGGGCCCTGAACTCTTGGACTTCGAGTCATGGTCTGAGTACGACCTTTCAGATTTTGAGCTTGCAAGGCAGTCCCGCATCAGGCTTCTTCGCAACCCCTCAGAAGTCGTCAAGCCATGGCAATGTCTGCAATCTAGGAGTTTCAACTCACAGGACATGTGCATTTGCAATTTCGATCGCCGCAGCACCAGCTCTTAAAGCAAGGTCCAGGTCCAGGTGGCTCATTCTTGCCCTTCTTGGAATCAGTGCCGAGCTCGAAATGTTTCCTGAAAGGGCATCGAGTCCAACAAACACGTTTCTCACCATCGTCTTCACCCCACTCATAGGACTGTCTCAAGTAAAGTCCAGCTCTGTCACTGCACACATTTCGAGCAAAGGCTCGTCCGCTTGATAGGCTTCATCCGCTTGGCCTTCGGAGAGGCATGCTGAGTCTAAAGTCTGCACTTGTCGGCTTTACACAAGTCCGTTCACCATGTAGTGTGGCACAGGACAAGCCGCACTCAAACCCTGCCTTGCACTTCGTGCACTCAAACTTCAGCACGATCCTGGGCTTGTCCATGTCGCCATAGAGAGATATTTGAGATATTGCTTACGAGACAGCCTACTGCGAAACGGACCTGTTTGGCTCACCACAGCGGAGCTTCGGGAGCCTAGAAATTGAGAGGTCCCACCGAGCCCAGAAATCCGATTGACTTGTCGACACAAAGCTTTCAGACCCGAGGTGCTTCTTCGTGGTCTTGGCCTTGGATGCACCCGCCAAGGAAGGAACCCCTCAATTGGTGCTACAGTTGAGTTCTTCAGCCGTTCCCTCCAACCCTGGACCAGTGAAAGGATGAACTGGCTAGCACGCCTGCCTCAAGCAACACCTATGTACAGGTCCGTGTTGGATTCGCCCCCCGCCTTCTTGTGGAACACGGGCTTCGTCTGCCCGCCAAAGCCAGCTTGCTTCTTGTCCTGAGCTCCAGCCCCATGCTACGGCTTGTCTACGTGCAATCAATGGTGCAGAACCTCTTGCATTCGCGGCTTCGGTCGACAGTATCTATGAAACCGCCGGTGTCTCAGGAAACACGAGTTGAAAAAGGTCCCAAGGATCGTATCGTCGTTTTCCCTGTGCGCTCAAGGATGCCTTGCCAGTCTTGTACTGCGAGACCTGCCAAGCTTGCTTCTCGGATTTGGAACAGCAATCAGACTGCGCTCCAAGCCAGGCAAGGAAACTTTTCCTTTGGTGCTTGGGGGGGGGGGCTTCAATCAAAAGCAGACTAATGGTTCAGCACGGGCTCCCGGCATGGAGGCCTTGTGGGGAGTGTGCTTCTTGCACTTGCGACAGTACCTTGCCAAGTCTCAAGCAATGCCTCTACTCTCAGCTAGTCCTGCAAATGAACCCACTTTCGGACGCGTTGTAAGTTTGCACCTGCACAACCTCAGGAAACCTTTAGAAAATGTCGGACGGCGACGATGCCAACACTCTGACTGCTACACTCCGGCCAAAGCTCGTGTTCCTCGTCTTGGGAATGTTCCTGAGCAGGCGGCGGTGGTGGGTGAGCTGCTACTGTCGCTGGTACTTGCTCGTACTTAATACTTGCAAAAACAGATTGCCGAATAGATAGCAAATGCAGCCTTCGTCCGGTTGCACCCAACCGCAACAAAGGAGTGAAGCGCATCGCTGCAGCTGAATATCCACTTCGACTTTGACACGTGAGATGCATGTGCATGCCAAGCTGCACCATGCTTGGGGCCACTAGCAGCCCGGCCACTGCCCTAACACCAGAGCCACTTCAGCTGCGACGGTTGACACGCATAAAGGTCGCAGCTACGCAACAGGCTGCAAAAGAATGCATGCTTGTGGACAAGTGCTGTGTTGAATAATAACATGTATGTATTTAGCTATCGTTCAATATCAATGCTAAACATGCAGCAAAGTCTGTAAAGCCTTGCAGAGCGGCGGTACATTTGCCGAGTGAGGCCTCCTCCGCGCGGACGGCGCCGGGATCCGTGGGCCTTCTGCCAACACCCTTCCGAAGATCGGGCTTCCAATCTGACTCCAGAGTCCACCGAACTCTCTCGAGCAATACCCTGTACAATGTGATGGCTGCTGAAAGGACAGGCCGAACCTCAAACTACACTGCGTGGAGGAAAGTGAAACACGCGTACAAACAGCCAGGCCCTCCTAGCAGACTGTGTCGAGCTGCAGATACAATCACCAAGAGGAATGCCCAGTCGAGGCCCGATTGTAACGCTTCACCTTGCGGCAAACTGGCGCGCCAAAACTCTTTAGCCCTCGAGCCCCCAAACTGCGCCTGCAAACATTGATCCAAGCCATCCGTAGCTCGACTCCGCGCCGATCAGGAGGAAGTGTATCTAGACCCCTAAAAACTGGGTAGCGGACACGCTCTTCTGACCGAGGAGCCCTGTCATAGGAAAGGGCCGTTTCACACTACCACCACCTCATACCAACACGCCAGCTTTACATGCTCATTCGATTCTCACACTCGCACAAGGTAGGCAAGACTTCACGACACAGGTCCACAACACTGCAGTAAATGGTCCACGATACAACAGTTCAACAACCACGCATTCATAGATCCTATACACGTGGTTCTGCACCAAACCCAAACCTACACATCCAAGCCATCCCAAACAAGGGCACAACACTTCGCTCAGTGGCTTAGTAGTCCCTCGGCGAACTCAGCACCCAAAACCGCCGCAATCAAGAAACCCTAAGCCTAATCCCACAATCATAGCACCAATCACCAGCAGCCCAACACCACTACCAGGTGCAGCCGATGCCGAGCAAAGCTCTGCCACACCCGGCCAAGAGCTTTCGTGTCAGGGTCAGTGAGGCCCTGCAAACTCGCCTGTGTTTTGTCCCATGGGCCGGACTGTACAATGCCTGCAGTCCGACAGACCCGGCATAGGATCGCTTAAGTCTCCAGGTCTGTCACAGAAGTTTCTCTGCCACAGCGGTTTTGGAGGGCTCAGCTGCATGCTTGGGCGGAGTGATGCTGGCCATAGGGAGATTTTGAAGGCTACTGCAAGAGCTGACGATGTGTACGAACATTTACAATTTGCAAAGAGCACTCCGTGCGCCTTGCCCCCCTTCAGTACTGTACATCAACGCCTCAACGGGCAGTATGGTATTGCTTGCGGAGCGAATTCCCGAAGTTTCACACAGCCGACAGCTCAGGGCTCACGCAGAGACTCCGCCATGTCCTTCAAAAAGAGGCTGCCGAACCGATCGGACTCGAGCCCGGCTCTGAAGGGGAAGATTAGCCTCTCGAAGTTCTTTGCGCCCCAAACGGCATACCAGCGTGGGTCCTTGAGCATCGTCTTTGCCACATGCCGGCCGTACTGGGTCTTGGCCAAGAAGAGCAGGCACTTGAATTCCAGAGCGCAGACCATGGCCACCTGGTCCTGCTCACTGCAAGTGCCGAGGGTCATCACCTTCTCGATCAAATAGCTTGTATTCTTGTGCTGCGCGAACCTCACAACATCCGCAATCAGAGTTTGAGCGGCCACGTGCTTGTGCCGTTCCTCGCCGTGCTCCAAAATGGACTGGATGACATGGTGCGCGAAGGAATGGCAGCAAAGCTCCGCGACGTCTGCTACATGTAGCAGCTCGTCCACGAGATAGCCCACCTTGGGGTTGGTGCTGCAGAACTCCAGAAGGCGACAGAAAATCCGACACCCCATCCGGTTCTTTGCGACGGCGACGGCCGAACCGAGGATCTCCTCCACGATAAATCCCGAGCCAGCCACCGAGAGCTGTGTGATGGCCTTCTGCACCACGTAGTTGGCCTCAGGGTGTTTAATGGCCTCGACGATGTGCCCGGAGAGCTCAGCAGCGATTGCCACGGTCTCACGGCCGGCGGTCTCAAGGGCCTTCTGAACCAGCCGGCAGCCCTTCTTGTCCTGCGACAGCTCCCAAACGTGGCCCCGGAGCTGTGCCAGCTCCTCCTTTCCGTCGGGGTGAGGGTGCAGCTCCTTTGTGAGGTCCGCAGCATCAGCCCTGGCCTTTCGCTCGGCGGCGCGCTTGCGGCGCAGGCGTCGAGCGGTGGATGCGGACATCTTCATGGAGGTGGCCAGGTTGTCCGCCTCCTGCAAGCGTGGCGATGCCTCGGAGGGCGCTGTGGAGACCTCGGCCACGGAGCCTGCGGAAGCCCTCGGATGGTCACAGCACTGCTCGGGCGCCGTGCCTGTGTAGCTCCAGGTACACTGGCCCTCCAACGGAACGTCCGAGGCCGGACATGCCATCTGAGCGGACTGCGGCAGCAGCATTGGCTGTACGTGCTGCGCTGCTTGCACGGGCAGCAACGGCAGCCCCTGAGGGCCGGGCATCTGCCTGGGTGGCTGCCACCAGCCCTGCGGCATGCAGCTCGGGGTCGTCGCCGAGGCTCCGGCAGCGAAGCTGAGACGCTGGACCTGGACGGGACACGGCATCTGCTGCACCTGGCCTGCTGGCACCATATACCACATCACGGGCATCGGAGTCGACTCCTCCTGCTCGTAGCCGAAACTCTGCTGGGATGGCACCATCTCGGTCTTTCTGAAGTCTACAAGATGGCTTGATCAGTGAAGGCCAAAGAGCCAAAATGGCCTCAGGTGTTTCGACTTTCACATTCGCATGCTCCCGAACAAACCACCCTGCAACCACAAGCCCCATCCAAACCCACGCCATTATCAACCATGAAACATTCAACCTCGCGAACTACCCAGCCGACAGATTTCGAGCCCTGCAAGCCAACACAAGGACTCACCAAACCACCCAACCCCAAATTGCAGCACGGTGTGGCCCCCCCAGGGCTTCAATGGGTCTGTCCAAACAATACAGTGCCAGCCTCTGAACCAGCAGCAACCCATTCTAACCACATGTTAATGTGCGAGACAGTATCTCAAAAGTTCCAAAAAACACATGGACATTGATGACTAGAGCCACCGTGAATTCAAAGCCACCCATACACCCACGCCGGATGGGACTGCCAAACCACCCTCACCCCAATCTTACAAACCACTATGTGCGAATTGCTTGGAACTAATTCCCTGGACAGACGCATCCGAATCCAAAGCAGCCAGAATGCGATGAGACGATAACGGTACGCTCACAAGCCCCAAGCAGACACCGCCTTTGACCAGCTCTTGCAAAGAGGCCTCGACCCTGCGTTCAGATCTGACTGGAGTTTCGACATCCCAAGAAAAAGTGGGAAGAACAGGATCCAGCTGCAGATGGAAATCCGAGCGATGCTTCACCCATGCTGTGGCGATTGCTTTGCGTGGACAGTCGTGCACTTTTTGCCCGCCCGCTGCATCACACGATCTGGCCCCGGTAGACCACTGACGAATGACGAATCCAAAGAGTCATTCTTTTTGCAGTATGGAAGCCATGCTAGTATCAAAGGAGTGCGATGGCGAAGGTGAAATCAACGTAAGTCTGAGACGCGGCACCAAAACAAAGGTGGTTCCTCGTCTGCCCAAGTCATCCCCTACGCCACTGAGTCGCTCCGGTCTAACAAATCGAGCCCCGTGCAACTGCAAGCCGCCGCAAAAAGAAGCTTTTGCACCAACTCTAGAGGACGATACTTCAAACCATGCGAACGTGTCATTGGCAAGAACCCTGCCACCGCATCACCGGAGGAAGAAGAACGCCGCAGCGGCCGCGGCCGCTGCAATCACGGGGCCGGCCAAGCCGGAAAGCCTGGGCCGCAAAAACGAGTCGACGAGCTACGACGTTTTGGAAGGAGGTACTCGTATTCCGTAGTGTTTAGCTTGAGCCTTAAGCTACTCAGTCACGGTGGGGGTTGCTCGGGGTTTCCTTCCAGATAAGCTGCAGGTCCTGCAAAGACTTCAGGACACGCCGAATACATCCAAAAGGCTGCGTGGATCGATCGGAGGCTGCCGGATGACTCGACGGGTCGGCTTCATAGCCTGTCGGGATAGGCCCACGTTCGGACGGACCGATTCCCTGTCGTTGCAGCGTGTTCAGGTGCAGTCCCCTGCAACCTCCCTGTCCCTTCTAATTCCAAAGTCTGCCTCGCAGCTGCTCCACGTCGGGATCCCCTGCCCCACGACTGGCCTGGGCAGTGCTACTATATATCTCGAAACCCTCTCACATGCTGATTACGACTCCCTCAGCTGGCGGACGAGGCGAGCCAAATTTGGGTTTCTAACTTTTTTCTGCAGCACGAGTCCTGAGATTGCAGCTGCTTGGCAGCGGCAGTGCGCTCAAAACTGCTATGTGCCCGTTTGTACATCTTCTAACCTGGAGCATCAGCTGGGCTGGCTATGCGACCGTTGGCACTTGTACTTGACATGCGTCGGTGTGGTGGAGGGTCCTGAGGGCATCTCACCAGTCATCATAATGCCTCATCTCCTTCGCGAATCGGCTGTCAGCAAGGGCATAGAACTCTCTCCTTTTGTCCACCTCCGTTGCGGGTCCAAGCTCGGCAGCTTCAACCTGCGCGTAAGCCGAAAGTGCAGCGATGTTGGCCGCCAGCCACCATGCGGACTGCGCACCCGGCAAAGTCAAACCGCCGTCCTCTGCCTGACCTGGACGGAACTGGCTTTGAAGATCTTGCAACACAGCATGCACCTCCTGTTCCGTCGACCTCTTCGTAGAGTCCTCTGCCATCAAGCCTGCAGCCACTTCAGCTCGAGTGTCCTCAACAAGTCGTACCCAAGCTTCCACGTTCTGAATCTCCTCAAGGGCTCCGTTGGCCATCTTTGCGACGATGTCCTGGATCCTTCGAAGCCGACTCTGCACCGCTTTCAGCTGGCGCCCTGACATTGTGACGCTGGAAGCAGAACGGAGGACAAAAAGCTTTTGACGAAGGTCGCTGATCTCTTGCATGCGTTCGCCACGCTGTCGCTGAAGCTCCGTGACCGATCGGAGCATCGTATCAATCCGAACTTGAGCTTCTTTAGCTTCCCCCTCGCAGTCGTCAACTTCTTCTGACAGGCTTGCAGCAGCAGCAGGCGGAGGTAGATTTTCCCACCTCAGCTCGTGCACGGTGCAACCTGCTTCTGGGTCTTCGAGCCGGATGCCTGTGCTCAGCTCATGCGCTTCCCAGTGTTCCATCAGTCCAAAAGTCGGACGGCCCCCTTCAGCGGCGCTCTTCGCCTTATGCAAGAAGCTGTGCAGTCGTGAGATTACGACCTCCAGCACCTTGTTTCTGGAAGCGGCAGCACGAAGCTTGTGGAACAATGACGTCACGGCTGATTCTGCATCTGCCATCTCCATGGCTGCACGTTCGGCATCGAGTCGTGCCAAGTCACTGTTGGCCTCGGCGGCCTTGGAGGAAGTGGTACGGCTGATGGCTTCAGTGCTCAGATGCCTTGCTAAAGGCGTCACCGTCAAAGGCTGCAACATATAAGGGCCAACTGTGCTTGCATCAGCCATTGCAGCCTTCCTGAAGCACTCATGTAGGCTCTCGGCAAAGATGCTCTTCTGCACGTCTACCCTGGCAGTCCATCCACGCAGAGCTGCGCTCCGTGACGTAATGCCATTGTCGACGAGGCAGCTTGTGGAAATGTCTTGCTCGCTGACGCCATCCACTTCTTTGCAAACGGCACAGCGAGTGCCAGCCTGGTCAAGCAAGTAAATCCAGCCGCTTGGCTCTGAGATGCGTGCCCGAATGACTCCATCTGGCAAGTGCAACGACTCTGTGACATTGACCCGCTTTCCGGGTGGAAGCAAATCAACTGCTTCCGTTGCACTGGGAGCTAGCAGATCCGCTCGAGGTGAGACGAGAGTCATCACCACAAGTTCGTAAATCCCGCAGGATTCAGCAGCTTCCTTTGCCCACTGGGTTTCCAATGCCAACGGTGCAGAAACTTGCTGAAGAAGCGCTGCTTCTTTGCCTTGCAAGCGAGCAAGCCGGCTTCTCGACTCTGCTAGTTCGTGATCGATTGTGGACAGCTCCATGGCCAGGGAGCGCTCACGTTCTCGTACCAGCATTCGCTCGGTTTCGATTTCCTTGGCAAGACTGGCGTGCTCCTGCTCTAACTGAGGCTTCTTTGCCAGTGCAGTTCTCAGCTCCTTGGCACGTTTCGTCAGCTCTGCAAGTTTCTGCCGAGCATGGCGATCGTCCTTGCTACTCCTGAAATGACCATTGATGGGGTGACACGGCGACGGCGCCAATTGTCCGTCTTCAGGAGCGTCCGCCACTGCTGGCTGCTGAATTTCTGCCTCGTCATCTGGAGACATCAGCCAGTGTAGCGCTCAAGGCCCGTACATGCCTCTGTCATGAACTACTATGAAGCTCCCAGTCTGAAACAACTTGAGCCTCACCCGGACAGAAGATCCGACATACAAAGCTGCAGCTTGCGACAAGCACGCCGACGACCTGAGCAAAGCACACCCACACATGTTATAGGAGCCTCGAGGAACTCACGTGCACGGCGCAGCCAGGGTGCCGCCTGGCCAGGTGCTCCGTCTGCGCAAATGTTGAGATACTGGACCCAGGGATGACAACGGCATTTCTGTTTCAGGAGTACTTGGATTTGCTGAGCCTCGTCCGGCTCACAGCCAGCCAGCAGCAGGCATTGGAACGCATGGTAGCAAGCCTGTTTCGGTACCAAACCAGGCAAGCATTGCAAAGCCACAATCTCTAAATTTGAGTCGCAACGGCATCTGCCGCCTTCGTCACGTAGGAGACCAACAACATTCTTCCGCGAAAATACTGGCGCATTCAGGATCACGCCGCAAATGCTTTCCCCCCGGGTACTGGCTGCCTCTACCACTACAACTACCACGACTGCGACAACGACACCACCACCACCACCGCCGCCGCCACCACCACCACCACCACCAACAACAACAACAACACCAACACCAACAACAACACCAACGCCAACACCAACGCCAACAACAACAGCAGCAGCAGCAGCAGCACCAACAACAACAACAACAACAACAACAACCAACAACCAACAACAACAACAACAACAACAAACCAACAACAACAACAAACCAACAACAACAACAACAGCAACAGCAACAGCAACAGCAACAGCAACAGCAACAACAACAACAACACTGATGCTGCTGCTGCTGCTGCCGCTGCTGCCGCTGCTGCCGCTGCTGCCGCTTCTGCCGCTGCTGCCGCTGCTGCCGCTGCTGCCGCTGCTGCCGCTGCTGCCGCTGCTGCCGCTGCTGCTGCTGCTGCTGCTGCTGCTGCTGCTCCTGCTGCTGCTGCTGATGTTGGTGTTGGTGTGGGTGTTGGTGTTGGTGTTGTTGTTGTTGTTGCTGCTGCTGCCCGTGGCCGCGTGGCCGAGTGGCCGCGGGGGGTCGCGGGCCGCGTGTAATGACAGCAACAGCAACAGCAGCAACTGCTGCTGCTGCTGCCGCCGCTGCTGCTGCTCCCTGCTGCTCCCTGCTGCTGCTACTACTACTACTACTGCTGCTGCTGCTACTACTACTTCTACTAGTACTACTCGTACGACTAGTACTACTACTAGTACATCGAGTCGAGTACTACCAAAACTACAAGTACTGCTATCACTGCTACTTCTACTTATACTACTGATTCTTCTTCCTGCCCCCACTTCATGTGACCCACCAAGCGCAAGATCCGGTCGGGCCTGGGCACGAAAGCCTTGCCTTGGCTGGGTCATGGTCTATCTTGTCTTGCCCCGCTCGGTTCAGTTCGATCGTTACTGTAGATGGTTCGACGACTTTGCACTGCTTCACCCTAAAGGGGAGCATTTGTTTAGGATAGAAATATGCAAGGGCCGTGCGTGAAGCTCTAACATGGCTGCTAAGCAGGGGCTGGGCTTGATTCGCTCGAGATTGACAGGCTGCCCTTGCCGAGGACATAAGATCGCTTGTTACCAATACCGTGAAGTCGCGCTGAGGAACCCAAACCTTTGGAAGCCATGCCAAGCATCAGAGCTAGGCCTTCGTCGTCGCAAAGCTGCAAAAGCTCCTAACATGCGACTGAGATATCTTGGTTTGGCCCAATAGCATAACCAGGCTGCCACCCACGAAAAGTGCAGATGCAACCAGATCTGTTCCGATCTATCCCAAAAACACAGTTGCACGTTTCAGCTCTTCGATGCGATCCCTAGAAGACTAGAAGACATAAGATTAGCAAGCAACTTCATGATGCCGGTTTTCACGCTTGTTGATTCATCGCGCTTGCTTCAGCAATCTTTGCCAAGTCCCCGCTGTGAGGTTGGAGGAAGGTCTTAGCCCTTTTGGCGGGCTCCTCCGACGCTTTGCGCCGGCCCTCCTTCTTCTTTGCCACCTCGTGTTTCTTCCAAGCCAGATGGTGTGAGCAAAGGGCGTGCCCCTCTTCTGCCCGACGCTTGCATCGCCACTTCTTCCCATCTGATCGGCAGCATTGTCGCGGCTTCTTCTTGTCCAAGTTCTCTCTCCTCCACACCATGTGGTGCGAGCAATAGTTTTGCCCCTCTGTTGCTGGGCGCTTGCATCGCCAACCCTTTCCATCTACGCGGTGGCATTGATTCGTGAATGTCTGTAGTTGATCCATTGCCGCTGGCTTCGGTTTTGGCTTGGAGAGAGGGCAGGAGTGCAAATGACACCGATACCCTGCCGGGCCATGTTCGTCTGCCGGCCTATGTCGGCGTGGCTGCCGACCGCATACGTTGCAGACATAGCCGCCATGACGAAAACATCGCTTGCCTGCCGGGCCGTGCTGATCCTCGGTGGCGACCTGCGACACTCTAAGGTTTCCGACAGCAAGGGCGGCTAGGGCATGAACGAGATCTACTGTGCCACATACCTATGCCGGCTCTGCTGGCTCCACAGGCCTGTTTGGAGGTTCGAGGTTTCGGGTCCGCAAAAAGGTGTTCTGCAAAAAACAAAGATCTTCTTGCTGCTCGAAACAAGGCACAGTTCCCCAGGGCACCTGAGAACACCCATGCACGTTGCAACCACCTCCGTGGATGTGACAGCGATGCCCAGCAGGACCAAATGTGTCGAGGGCTCTGACCTTCCCGACTGGCCAGACTCGGCATCCGGGAACGCTGCATACCTGAGCCACTAGAGGGGCTGTACCAATTGGCATTGAAGATAACAAAGTTGAGAAGCTTGCAGTTGTGCCTTCTATCTCTGGGGATCAGGACATGACGGCCAACCGGGATTCTTGTGTCGTTTACAGTGGGTGGTCATGGTCATGCCGTCGATTTTGGCAACTTTGCCGTGGCGTTTGCACGCTGCACCTGCGCCGCGGTACAGTGACTTGCAAGGTGGCATGGCTTACGTGCTCAAAAACTGCACGAGAATCTAGCTGTTCACCTGTGGGTGGGTGGGCGGGCGGGCGGG